GCCACATGGCTTTGCATTCTAAATGCAAATGTCTTCTGTGTTTATCCGTCTTCACGTTGCTCTCTAAGCCAGCGGTTTACCACTTTCCTCCAATTCCCTGAGCCAGTGGTTTGTAACTTCTTCTCCTGGGACCTTCAACAACAGTCTCTTACAAGAACCAAAACAGAACTAACAGAAGGAAGACACTAAACAGCCTGCATCCACTCATAAAGTAAATAACCCATATGTCATTGTTACATGAGATTAACCTTGTTTTTAAAACTTTATTACAATTGCATTCATCTATGTAGACTGAGAAATAAGATACAGTGAGATGACCCTATTAATGCCACAACCGGGAGATTTGCAACACTATTTTAATGTAGTTTTGCTAGTGGCCATCAATGATGCAGCTCCATGCAACAGACCAACACCATGGTGACATTACTCGCTCTATATGCTGTCAAACACACACTGTGTAAGACTTGCAGTTTGTAAACTTTAAAACATTCTGACAAAATTACAGTAACAATAAAGCCTTAATAAAGATTTAGCATTTAAATGTGTTAGTTTTCAGGTATGTAAAAGGTTAAGGTGTCCCATCCTGTTTAGAATTTATGATTATCACAACCAATAGTGTGTGACACACTTTAAACACACTGGTGTCTCCTCTAATCTGGCTGTGTTCAGGCCACAGAAGCCACATAATCTCTCCGTGCTTGTTGGTGTGATGAATGTTTTATCATGTGAAATTTGTAAAACTGCAAATGTTAAAAAAAGAAAATAAATGGATTATATAGTTGCTGTAGAACCTTGAAGTTCTGGGACAGAAGTTTGAAAAAAAATTACCAACAGACGCTTAGATATAAGACGAGTCCTCTTTACTTACAGTAGAGCAAGTAAACAAGTGTGCATTTACTTGAATTTATTTTTGTAAACTTTAATATGCTGAATTATAAATAGACAGTTCTTATTTCAAACTGTATCCATGTACACACATATTTAACACACAGATTTACAGAGTTTGTCAAACAGTCAAACAAAACGGATAAACATTGAAATTGCAATATGTCGATTTAAAAGGAGACACCAAACTTTACAAACATTCCTGTGGTACTGTTACAAGTAAATAAAGTACAGACAGTAAAATTTATATAAAATTTATCAAATTAACGACATGTTATGCAAATTTTAATATCAGTGCTATCATCCACATACTATAATTATTAGTGGTGCATTTAAGCAGCATTTTATGTTGCTGTCTGCTGAGGTGGAGCAGTGCTGGTGTCTTGCTACACTGCGTTTTATTGAGATGTGTTTCTAATGTTCTTCTCCCCTCCTGTTTGGAAATGGTGTGAGCAGAACAGGAGACCAACACACCTTTTTACATTATGGAAAACACTTCAGCATCATTGCAAACGATCACCTTAATAATAAACATGTGATTAAAGTAAAGCCAGGCTGACAGTGTTGATCCAAACTGCATTAGATGTTTCAGGAGCACTCTTCGCTAATTCTCTGCAAGTGCCGGTTTTCATTTTCTCTACAACAGTTGTTTCACCATTTCAATTTCACGCAAAAGCTATTTTTTCCCAATTACTCCCTGAGGGTTTTATTAGATCTCCATGTCATTTTGCACACAACATGTTTTGATTTGCTTACGACATGTTGAAAATTCAAATGACGTATGACTTTGCTCGGGTTATTAGGAGAGCAGGTAAATAGGGAGTGAAGCAGATATAGATCAGCTTCTCATTCTGCTGTTATTGCTGATCAGTATTTATACGTTTCAAAGAAAAAAGTGAAGCACATCCATCCATCCATTGATTTTGAGGATCACTTGGGGAGCTGGAGCCAATACCAGCAGAGAGTGGGCTAGAGGCGGGGTCGCAGACATATGCAAGGCCAACACTTTTACGCCAAATGAGCTGATGTACGCAGGTTTTTTAAACATGAGTAAACCCGTTAAAAAAGGCGATTGACTCTTTTTCTATTGCCAAGAGAGGAGTCTGTCTCCCCAGATGAGTCATGTTCAACATCACAAAGGCAGCACAACCCGAGGCACTCTCTCACCTTACTGTTTTATCAAATTACTGCATTCACCCTGATGTCACGTTTCAATCACTGCTAATCGGAGCAGGGGGCCGATTAAAACCTGTGTCCACCGCAGAGTCATTTGACCCGGGAGTGAACACTGACTGTATCCACTCCTGCTGCACACAAGAGCCAGATGTTCACATTCACACCTTCAGTCTCTAATTAACCTAACCCCAATCTGCATGCCTTTGGACTGTGGGAGGAAACAGAGAAAACCCACACACACACAGAAGCTGCTTCAGACACACTCCGGAGGTGATGAAGCTTCTAACACGCCACAGAAACCAAATGAAAACAAATATCTCCTGGTGAAAAAGCAGTGACACACACGGAGAAGACATCAACGAAGATGTCAAGAGAGTTTGTGGTGATAAGAGCTGTCGACGGTGTCGGGGTGATGTAAACATGGTCACGTGATCTCTGCATCAGAGTTATTACATCACTTCCTGCCTCTGCTGCACCCGGCTGCTCCACCTCTTAGTTTGATGCTGTTGCTAACGTGTCTGTGCAGAGAACCTGTGGGAGAGAACATGCAAACACAGAAAGATTGGAATATAATTCTTGATTTATTGAACTCAGTCACTTTCCACTGCTACGACAGAGACATAATCTCTCTCTTTATTCCCATGTTGAATACTCTTTACTTACTGGTCAGTAGGTTCCCAAACTTTCTCAATAGGGTGAGTGCATAGTAAATGAGTAGAAACTCTATCCTCGGGAGGCTGAAGTGGACTCCACTACAGATATCAGAAACAAGCAACAACAAGAAAATGAATCACTTTTTTTTACAGATTCCTATAAAGTTGACTTTTTGGAGATGAAAGGATTGCTGGGAACACTTTGATGATATGGAAATGACATTATGCATCATAAGCTTGTGTTTAAATGTTGAATGGTCTTTTAAGTGCAAATATGGGATTAAGTCGGCTTGAGGATTTTTGACATCGGCACAGCAGTGATATTTGGCAGCTCTTTTTCTTATAACAATCTCATGTTGTTTGCATGAGCTGGATTTGTTTCAGCAAATACAAACCTTTATATTTGATGCCAATGAAAATCATTTGAACACGAGTTAGAGAGAAAGGAGATGAGAGCGTGCAACAGAGAAAGTGTGATTTACAGCGTGTTTGTGTGCTGATTTTTGGACAGAACATCAAAAACACAGCAAAGCAGAAAGACAGCTGGTTCTGTTTGCATCACATCTCACACAAACATGTATTCAGAGTGTGTGTGTGTGTACTCACTCACTCACAAACCCTCTGCACACACATAACACCGTCACACAAACGCAGCAAATCACTCATCCATCTTTTATGCCAGGATGCACAAATTTCGGCTTGTCTTTGTAAATTGCAGCTAATGCATGTGAGAGAGCAAAAGCTTGGAGAAAAAGAGTGGAGTACGAAACTCAAAAAGAGGGAATGAGAGAGAGGAGAAGCAGACTAGGAAGATAGGAGAGAGGGATTGACAGACAGGGAGAGAGGTGTTATGCGGTCTGATTTTCTCTCTAGGTCACATTCTATGACCCTCCTGGATTTGTTTCTTTTATTATCTTATCGTTTTTTTTCTTATTTTCTTTCTTGTATATTTATCCTCTCACTCTTTTCCCTTTTCTATATTTTTCCTTTGCTAACCATCATTATTCACCCACAGACTTCCATTATGACAGACAGAGTATAGACTGGTTCCTGTCATTTTCTCTTCTCATTTACATTTACATTATGTTTTAGGCATGCAGCAGAGCCACAAAGAAATATTAAACCAATGCAGGATCCAGAATATGAGAATATATTTTTTTTTAATTTTCTTTTCAAAGCTTTTGTGCTTTTTTCCGGAACAGTGCAGATCATGCAGATAGATGAGAGAACAGGAGGGAATAAGAGAGTGAAAAGTGCCTTCTCCTCATTAAATCATTGCAGGTGTTTGTTTTCACAACAACAGTTGTTCCATCGTTTTAATTTTATGCAAATTATTATATTCTTTCCACAATTTGTTTTTAAAAGTTTTACAAAATTTTCATTGTGTTTTGCAAATTTACAAAAGAGGATCCTGTTCTATTTTTATGTTTTATATATTTGGGTTAAAATTACCTTCAACAAGGAGGTTATGTTTTCATCATTTCTTTGTCTGATATTTAGCAGTGTTACTCAAAAACTATTGAACGGATTACCACCAAACATGGTGGAAGGATGTGCTATGGGGCAGGGCAAATGTTGGTGGGTCATAGAGTGGGTTTGAAATACAATATTTTGCCCTTTATAAGTAAATACTCACAATAACTCTATATAAATAAACAATAATTATTAATAATAATATGTAAAATATACATTCAACTTCAAAAAATAATCTCCAAAACTGTCCTTACTCAAAAGCAAGACAGTATATTGAAGTACTCTGTGGAACTACTGACTGTGTAGTAATATAAGCATATTTGTATTTGTTTCAAAAAATGAGTCACCTTACACTGTATATACAATTTGGACGCTTGAATAAAATGAAATGGATGAAGACAAAGGGCATTGGTGCAGGTGTCCATTGCTGCTTTTTCTTGAGAACCTTGTCATGTGGATGTATTATTATTAATCCAGAGGCCTGTGTATTTCTCAAACATGCTCCTGAATCAACCAAGAATAGATTTGAAGAAAGATTTGAACATTCACCGGCTGAGTGCTTGTCTCATTTTATGAATTCACAGCACCAGTTGGGGAGCAACTTCTCACATTTGAGCTTGACCACTTAGCTGTCATCACATTTTTTTTTAAATACTCACATGCTTGTGGTCACGGTAACAAGAGTGATGTTCCCCCTGCTGGGCTCATTTTACTATAAAACGTGATATGAAAGGATGATGCCTCCAACAATAACAGGATGTGCCGAAATAATTTCAGAATATATCTCACAACATGTTTCCTGTTTTTCCCCAGTGAGTCAAAGTGGCCTTGCAGGTGATGTTTGTCCAGATCCCGGAGTTCCAGAAAATGGCAAGAGGATGGGCTCTACCTTCCAGTAAGTTCATCTTTTTTACTTTATCTCCAACCTCACCTGCTCTGAATCACTTAAAATCAAAACACTGATCATTTAGAAACCAGACTGCAGGGGTTTCCCACAGTGGATAACATTTCCCAACATGGCACTAGTCCCCAAAATCATTTGATGATTTGAGGGACGGTTGCTCAACTTGTGATTTGCTGACGTTGTGTCAGAGCGGCTTGGTACATTTAGGAGTCAGGACAGAGAGAACCCCCAGTGGGCAGAGTCACAGTGTGAAAACACATACACTGATTTCATCTAGCTGAGTTTGACTTTACAAAATGCTTGTCTATGATTGACAATAAGAGCAATAAAAAACTTAATTTAGTCCAGGCCCGGATCTAGACTGCTCAGACTGGGGAAGCAATTTTTTCACACAGTGTAAAGTGCCTTCTCTTCATTAAATCATTGCAGGTGTTCAGACTTAGTGTTGAGAGTTTTTCCAAGTTTTAAAGAACCAGGCTGTGGTATAATAATGATAATAATAATTACTGTTATTATTATTATTATGATTTAATCATCATTTTTGTACATGTGCCACGCACAGTGTAGCGCCACCAAACTTTTTTAAGCCTGCGTGGAAGCACACATGCAGGTGATGAGTTCCAGTAAGGAAGCTGTGAATGGATGGTGCTGTTATTAAACACAACACTGAATATTATTTTTAATGATACAGGTGTAATTTAAAATATATTAAAACACAAGTTCAACAGCCCGGTTTGCTGTTTGTCCAGATTAGTTTGAGGTTACGGACATTTTGACTTCCAGTTCAGATTATACATTATTCACATACAGTCTGTTTTAGTTCTCTCTTCTTCACTCATGGGCATCACACTGAGAGTGAGTGGCAGTCCACCTCTGTTCGGCACAGGAACTGGAACATCCTTACCAAAGCTCTGCATCCTTTTCATGGAGAGTGAATCGTTTTGTTGTGCCTGTATTATCGTAGATAATTTCTGTACAGTTGGGGGCTTGTTTTTTTTACAGGGCAGGCTTTTTATCTGTGGAACATCACATTTTACTGACTTGTAACAAGCAGGAAAAATGCACAACTTACATTTGCAGTCCTTCAAAATCTCCAAACGGGGAACTGTTCACCACAGGTGGCACAATTTCTGAAATTACAACAGCTATTACTTTTGTTGCCTCTCACAAACCTCTCTACATCTGTGTTTCTAAACTGCTGCCACCATTACTTAATTTGTCAGCAAGTGGTTGGTGTGAAACTTTCAGTTCAGAAATGCAGGTTTAAAACGGCAGTTATGGATCATCACATTCTGCTCATATCTTTGTTTAAAGCATCGTCAGTAGCTCCCCTGGTCAGACACACTGTTGGGTTTACAAGGGGCCTTATACAAATGTAGGAGCACAAAGAAAATGCCAAAGAATTTTTCAGAAGTGGGATCTTTGCTGTTAAATAAGGACTTTGTGGACTTGGAGATTCAATGATTCAATTGTTGGTGTCTGTCATATAGTCAGTAGAAAGGGAGATATCACTTTTTATAATCAGGAGTGAGCAATCATAAAGAAACACTTGTCCCTGGACTCTTCCACTTAGCATTAATGGCAGCTAAATGGTTCTTATGTTTGACTTAAACAAATCTTGAAAAGGATTTTTTTTTTTTTACCATTTACTGCACATATTTTCATGATTACTATTAAACAACTAATAAATTATAATCATCTTTTAATCTGCAGTTTCTACAACTCTGATTAACACAAACTGCAGGATTATCAGCAGAATTGTCAGTTAGTGTAGGTCATTCCCTACATGTGTGTATTTGATGGTGTGTTTTTCTGCATGCATGTTGGCATAGATGTGCTCGGTGTGTGTGTTACAGGTTTGTATCTAATTATCATTAGGCACTGAGAGGCAGGAGCTGGAACGGAACTGTGGTGGGGTGAAGTAAAACAGGAGAAATGGAGAGGAAATAGCTGCGGAGAAAACCTCAGAGTTTCACTGCAGATGTGCAAGATGGCTGTTATATCATTTTTCATGGCAGTTTTTATCCACAGACCACCACACACACACTTGTGATGGAAAGGTTTCTGTGGTTTCCGAGGAAATAGCAATAACAACAAAGTTCCCTCCACTGTAATTGTGGATTTCACAGTTTGCGGCTGGACTCTGTGTCATCAGCATCGCCAAAGTGGCAGGAACTGTAAAGTCTCCGTGACAAAGGCACTAACAGAGAGATTTGGCTCGGTTGTATGGCTCTGCAGTGTTTTAGCAACAGGGTGGAGCCAGTGAATAAACAGAACCCGACGTAGTGAATGTTTGGCCAGGTGGTAGACTGTGGTGTGTCTCAGCAGGGAGGAGACATTAAGCTTCACAGACAAAGCACCATGCAGACTTCCACTTAGATGGCTGAATGTCCCTCACACGTATTAGACAGCAGGGTGTCGGAGTGAATGAGAAAACGAGTGATCAGAACAAGTGATGAGGGAAAAGGGAGAGAAGGAATGATGAGTGGAGAAGAGAGAGCGAGGAACAGAGGAAGATAAACGTAGAAAAAGAATCAGTGTTTTACAGAAAGAGAAGAATTATAGATCCTAATTAGATTATTTATTTTGCAATGATCTAAAAGCCACTGCATCATTTGTTCATCATTCCTAAATTACAATCATTCCCTGGAAGAATCCTCTTCTCTTGTAATAACAACAACGATTCCTGCTGTGTTTCTTTTGAGTATCACAGTTTCACATGACTGTTAGAGAGGCAGATTAAAACCATATTACTATTTTTGACAAGTGTTGTTTTCAATGTGTCTCCCTTACTAGAATTGGCTCCAGCGTCCAGTTCAGCTGTGATGACAGCTACGTACTGCAAGGATCTAAAAGTATCACCTGTCAGCGAGTCACTGACACCCTGGCTGCCTGGAGTGACCACAGACCCATCTGCAGAAGTAAGTTTTACCCATCATTCCATCTGCGTTTCATCTCCTTGCATGTGACAAACTCTATTTCCTTTTTTTAAAGTCATTGCATTGAATATCCAGGATAAATTCAGTAGGTAAATGTTTATTTAGCTTTGAAATGCGTCTCATTCACACACACAATCGTACACTGATGGTGATGGAGCTGCCAGGCGAGGTGCTGACCTGCTTATCTGGGATTCAGTGCTACCTGAGCTCCCCAGGCTGATGTTGCAAAGCCGTGAAACCCCGAAGGCAAAAACATGTTCACCCTCGGTCTTTACACTCATTACCCTGGACACGGACTGAAACAGTCAGAAGGTCTGAGCTCCTCCAGCGAAGAATCTTCTGCTCAGGTGGGAAAACTTCAGAGCATGAGTCAAGTAACAAAAAAAAAAAAAAATTTTAAATAGTCTTTAAATAATGGCTTTAAAATCTTGTCGACCTACAATAGGGGGAATGACATCTCTGCCATTGCAACAGCGCTCCTGGAATTGCACCTTGTAACTCTGGTGTATTGTGCAGGAATATTTGAAACATGCTTTAAGCTAAACTTCACAATCCTAATAACTGCAACAACAATAACTGGTGTTATAAGCCGGAGTTAGCAGCCAGATGTAAGAAAATGTTAGCTCACTATTGTCAGTGTGTAAAATTAAACAATACAGAACACATCATTATACACTACATTCATTTTCAGACTTTTGACTTTACTCCTATTAAAAGCTCCTGGTTATTCGCACAGTTTAACTACAGAGATTTTGGACAACCTATTAGACGCTGCAATGGTTCCAGGATCTCTGTCTGAATCTGTTTCATTGACTTAAAAAAATTAATATATAAAGTTTTGCTCTTAAATGGCTAAACCTCTGGTTGGAAAAAAAACGAAACCATAATGAGTATTTTGGGCAGTGTCATGGGGATCTTCTTCTGACTGAGCCAATTAGTGTCAAACGTTGTAAGATGTCAGAAATAATAACTCTTAGATTGGCATATTTCCTTTAAAATTATTCCTCTCCAGGGCCTAGAAACCTCTGCCATAGCTTGTGTCAACTCAAAATGATAGAAATGTATGCCGAGATAATTTAACAATGATCTAAATGTAAACCACTGCAAGATATTTGTGAAGACGTAGTGGTTATGTCAGATTTCTGGTATTTTTCTAATGCACAGGCTCCACATCACTGTGATTTATATGTTGCTGTGATGTTGATGTGTTAAAATCTCTTCATTCATTTCCTCCCTGACCGGTTGAGTGACTAAATAAATAACTGTGTGAGTGGCAGAGCAATGATGCAAACGCTCTCACTGCCCACGTGTTTACTGACAATACCCTGTTGGGTTTATTGCTCCACTGTGGAGAGGCAGACAGCAAGCATACACACCCAAGTGTGTGCGCGTGTACGCACACACTGACACAGCGAGTGTCCAATGGACAATGTCACACACCTCATAGCTGCAGCGGCATTTGCCTTGAGCTGTGTGTGTGCGTTTGATGGACAGGCAGTCCCTGTGGTCAGACACGTACTGTAGGCTCCCTGTCACATTGGATTATAGTGTGTGTGAGTGTGTATAAGTGTGTATATGTCTGTCTGACTGCAGGAACCCTCTCTGCCTTCACAACACTGGCCACTCTAGTGAGGACGAGGCGGCAGAGACGGAGGGAGAGTGAGACGGTGAAAGATATAAAAGGACATGTGGATATTATTTCCATAATTAGCTCACTCGAGGAGCTGTGGGAGGAGAGGGTGCACACGACAGAAGGCACAATTAGCACCCACAGTGTTAGGGGTGGACTACACCTGCACAAACTGTAACACAGACTGCTGCCCAAGAAAAGATGCTGCAACTGGACTATACACTGATCATGTACTCCTTTGTCCTCTGGGACTGAAGGACTTATTAGAGCGGTTGAGAGAATTATTTAGTTGTATTAGTTTTAGTTATTTGGTGCAGTAAAATGTTCAGTAGTCAAGCAACCATCAAACTGCTTTAACCTACTTGTTGTGTTAATATCGAAAATGGATAGAATCAAATAGAATAGAGCAGAGATTTGAATATTGGTTCATCTGGCAGTTTCATTAAAATATCACACTGACAGCTTAAAAACTCAGTAAAACAAAATATACACAGTTTACACAAAGTCTAAGCAAACTGCAGTGTCAAATATTATCACAGTTTAATGGGAGGCTCAGACTACAATATCATTTTGTCTATTAAAATAGTCACAGTGTCAGATTCAGCGATCATAGAGTCATGAATTATTGCTGTGTCGTGGTCGAGAGACATGACAGGCTACACGTTGGCTCCCAACCAATCAGTGTTTCCTGTCTTTTACAGTGCGCATGATGTCACTGGAAAGGAAGTGCTTGGGACTCACTTCTGAGGAGAATAATTGAAAGAAACAAACATGGCATCCGAAGCACGATGTATAATACTGTCTGTCTCATGATTTGAAAAGCCAAACAAAAGATCATCTTTATAACAGTTCCCCCATATAACACTGACAACTTCATTCCTCTTTTGCGTCTCAATTTTCCATATGTTGGTGGCTCCCTCTCTTCCAGCAGAGGGCTGTCCGCTCTGCTTCTACTGGTCACAGAGAAGAAAAGAAATACGATGTGGTAGCCTTTGTGTTAGGACGTTGTGAGGCGTTCCCGCCGCAGCATCGGTTGTTACCACACAAGATAAATATGATGATTGTAGCGCCCAATGCTCATTGATTGTTTTTGAAGCCACCTGACAACCTACACTTTCCAGGTCGGGCTATTATCCGACTGATTTTTGTTTAGTGTGACACTGGCATTAGAAACACCTGGCCTTTAAAAGCCTTAACACAAATAAACTCACCTTTAAGATTTATAAAACAATCACAAACATGTGTCTGTTTTGCATGTAAACGTTCCATGTTCTGTCAAAAAACCACTAAAAGAAATATGCAGACACATCAACAGATATTGATGATCTGAAATAACAATGTGTTCGAATAAATATCGGGAAATCATTCCGTGAATTTTTGACACGTTGCACAACAAAGCAGTAATTCATGTCTTTCGATATTTTTTACAAAAGTGTCGGTGATTAGAAAGGAAGACAAATTCAGATGGAGAGAAAAAGAGAAAGAAAGACAGAAGGAGAGAAATATGAAAAGAAAAAAACAGGATCAATAGTGTTAGGCACAAACAGGCAGGCAGGGGTTAAATATTCTTATACTATAGCTCTGTTGTGCAGTGTTCTGTGGTGTGATCTTCCTCCTGGGATTCAAACCCACGAGTCTCCCTGATTCCCTACTGAGACTTAACTGTTAATTAGAAGCAGGTCTCTGGGATGAATTGCCATGAATGTGTGTCTGTGTCCGTGTGTGTGTGTATGTGTGTACCTGTGTGTACCACTGTGTGTTCTAGCTCTCTTTTCTAATTAACAGGCAGATCAGTCATCTGAGGTCCTCTTCTCTCTCCCTCTCTCCCGTGGTATTTTCTGTGTCTCTGCCTCCTTCTTGGCTCTTGCCCTTCCTCACTATCTTTTCCTTTCCCACATTATCTTTCACCTCTTTAACTCTCTCTCTTTCTATATCTTTGTGGCCTCTCTCCACATGATCTCACAACCTCTGTATTTAAAAACGTCCCTTTCACTTTATTTACACCCTTCTCTTCACTTTCTACCCCATCACCCTCTCTATTAGTCATCATCCTTCTGCTTTTCTTTTATCCTCCCTTGTCTTGTATGCTTTTGATTACGTGTCACTGGCCATCTTTCCCTCCTAATGGCAGTCATCTCCTCCAGCTAACTTATTACGATAGATAAAGGGCAAATAATATGATCAGTTAAAACTTTATCCACAGTGTGACAGTTCATGTTGACTAGAAATTACTGAAAATGTCAAGTGCGCAGTTTAATATTACTGCGCTCAAGAGAGGGGGCTTTTTAAGGGAATTTTTGACACAATACACTTACTTTTTTGCCAAATATCCCTTTAAGGCAATAACACATGGGTGACTTTATGAGCTACTGAGGGCAAGAAATATTACCTCGAGTATCACAAAGGACAAAATCAATATGGATAAAACAGAGCACTTGGAAGAATATTATGAAAAATGCAATGGAGAACAGGGACAGTCAAGCTCTTCAGGAGCAAAGGTACTTAAAGTTTTAGCAGCAGAAGAACAGGAGAATTTGGGGCCAGTTGTTTTTTTTTTTAAATCCCTGTGTTTACGTGGAACATAACTTTTTAAAAGTGGGTAAGTCCGCAGCATGTCTGATGGTCGCTCTATAACAAATCATCCCAGGGGCATTTAGATTAGGTTACTATCAAAGTACAGACATCAGTGTGCAAAGTAACGTCTTTCCCCAATGGCCCCCTTGGCCAGTAGATCATGAGTCTTACTGGCCTTTTATATTTTCCATGGCCTGCCAGCAAAAAGATGAAAACAACTCTTTTCTTTCCCATAATTTATTAAATTAGTTATTACAGTGGCCCTGTACTGTAACATGGTGTACACAGTTTTAATTATCCTCTTACACGTTTTGATCTGAGGTAATTATATACTATACTGGGCCTGATGACTTTCTATATAAAGTGCCTTGAGATAATGTACATCATGATTTGGCGCTATAAAAATGAAATTGAATTGAATTTATGCCTACCAATGTGGTTCAATTGAATCCACTTCTTAAGACAATATATTATTCTCCAATGTCCCCTTCAGCATTAAAACAAGTGACTGTACATCTTACAATTTCTTTTATTAAATAGATAATGGCAAGTTATAATTTATACAACATTTGTATCATTTTTGTGTTTCCTCACTGTTACATCAATTTCAGTTCAGATGACATTTCACAAACCACTTTAACAGGTCTGCCGTCATTTATCCTGGTGCAGCAGCGGCAGCAGCAGTTTGCATATCAAGCCTTCACTGTCATAGTCACAAAGTTATGATCTGCCTCTATTGGAAACTTACAGACACTGAAAAGACTCTTCCAGAACTTTCAGAACACTTTTGGATGTTTTCAAATCTTTGTTTTTGATTATTATTTCCTGTTTTACCTTGTGTGTCTTCTTCCTGTTTTACTTCCTGTCTTTGAGTCTTTCTGTGACTGTCTGCCCCGCCCTAATGTCTTTCGCCTGTGCCCAATCATTCCTGCCTCCCTTGTGTACACAGTCTTTGTGCTCAGAGTTGTCTTTGTCAGTTCGTCTGTCTACGTCTTTGCTTGTGCTGCGACTGTCTCAGTCAAGCCTTTAGTTTAGTTCTCCTCAGTTGTGATCATCTTCCCTGTTATCCTTGTTTTTGTGTTTTTGATTCTGTCCTTGTACTTTATGTTTGCCTTCCTGTCTGATAGCTGCCAACCTGCCGACCAGAGAACTGAACGCTTTTTAATTTAAATTAAAATGTGCATTTTGGATCCTGGAAACCTACAACCTCGACAATCAACACTAAACATGTAGTCTGGTGTAGGGAGTGCTCATTGTTATAATCTGATCTGGGCACAAAAACAGCCGATCGTATAATAGGTTAAACAAAGCACTTCCATAGCTTTAGAGAACCACCACAGTAGATACACCGTTAAGGTTGTAAAATGGTCATGACTAAAGAGGTACTTGGAACTATCACTTTCACTTGGGAAATCCACAGCAGTCTCCCATTTGAAAGCTCGATATACTACGTGACATAACTTCCCTTCTTTTCTCCCATTATATTAATTATGACCAAAAGAGATCACCTGGCAATGAAACAGCACTATGGGTTAAAATTGACTGTTTGCACATGAGGAGAGTTTCCACCATTTTCATTGCTGAGATATGGCTTTCCATTAGAATACATGAGGCAACAACCATTGCAAAAATACTTTAACACAATCAAAAGGACACTCATTGGCCGCTTGGAGCAATTTTACAATCTAAACTAACACATTACATTCAGTGCCTATACCATAAAGTATGTCTATTGCAATGTTTTCAGCGGTGTTGAAGTACATCTTCTCCTCTCTGAACATGACACAAAGGCAGAAACATAACAAGTTTCCTAAATGAAGACTTTGCTGCTGAGCAGTTGTATTGTTGTGTATTAGATTGTACATGTGGACCTGATGAAGTGGAGGAGTCTGCAGGAACGCTGTAGGTACTGAGCAGGATAATGAAGTGACCTTTTTATAAAGGAGTTAAGCTTTGTTAACTATCCACTTGTTTGCATGTGGGAGGTTTTGCACGGTTATGAAACCATGAAGTTACATATTTAATTTAAACTGTTGTCATAACTGAGGGGGATGATGAACACCATTAAAAAACAAGGCCTCGATTTAAAAAATATCTATAATTTCCTCTTCATAATGAAAACAATGATAACAAATCATGTTCAGTGCCTCTCTTTACACTGTTTGGTGTTGTGCTTCCCAAAGAACATTTGTTTCTTCCACAAGAGTCAAGGAGCTCTTTGGCAAACTTTCTTTTTCAAAAACAGCCCTTAAGGACAGAAAAGTGCTTTACCTTTAATTGACAGATAACCACGGTATTGCAGCTCTATTGCTGCGATTAAAGCAACATTAACAACAAACATCAGTGTTTCTGTTTGCAGAACTTAACTCAACCTCTGCAACGATTAATGAAGTTGAAGAGTTTTTCAATAGCTATTGGAACTTTCAGTGGATTAGAAGTGAGAAGCAAGGTTGCCAGATAGAGTATGTAATAAGTTTAACCTCGGCAGCAGTTGGTGTCTGTGAGCGATACTCTCACCTGTGAAATGAAGTGGTGAAAAACTAATTTGATTGAGTTGATTGCAGAATAATTTCAAATAAACAAACTGCCCAGATTCGACATCCATGAACCACAGTTTTGGTTTTGGTGGTATTGAACCCTGTGTTCTAAAATAAATTGCCTGTTTCTCTGTCACCACCACACCCTCTTTTCTCTTCCAAAGGTGAGAAGCCATTTGCAATCTGCGAGTATAATTTTGATCACTCCATAAATCATTTTTAAACTTTTTGTCTCTCTCTCTCTCCATCTTGCTGCCCCCTCTTATAGCTCGTACCTGTGGCAGTAACCTAAGGGGGCCCAGAGGGGTCATAACTTCTCCTAACTACCCTGTTCAGTATGAGAACAACGCACACTGTGTGTGGGTCATCACTGCAATGGACTCTGGGAAGGTGAGCTCATTTCTTTACTATTTTATTCCCCCCCATTCAGTCCACCACGGTCTCAATGGCTCCAATCTGACATGGTGATGAGAACATTTCTGTAACTGGAACCTCTGCATCATGTTGTCATGTCTAATGTGGTGATCATAGCATGACTTCTGAGCCATTCTGCCAGTTTTGATGATTATTGAGTTGTTTTTTCGGGTGAATTACTGATTGTGATTGAATGTGTTGTTTGGTTTCATTTATCAATAAATGTTCAATGCAGCCAAAATAGGGTAAAATGATTGGCCTCAGAAATAACTCAACTTATTTCAGTTGAAGTAGCTGAGATGTCAACGCTGTGATGAAGATATTATGAAATGAACTTGTCATAGAGAAGACATAATAAATGGATGTGAGTCACTTATTCAAAGAATCTGAATGCATACACAGCCTTCTTGTGGTAAATAGAGTTTTAAAAATGCTGCAGAGAGAGACAGGAGCTTGACTTTAGAGCAAGACTTGCTGTAAAAAGTTGTAAGCAAGACTAGGAACTATCATATTCTCCTCTGCAGTGTTGGAAGTTGAGGTTTTAGGCTACATTTTTGGTTTCCTGCATGCTGACTGGACTGTGTGTGCATTGCTTAGCTCCTGGGATCCACACCTCTCCAATTCTGTGAAGGCAATTGTTGAGTCATTGTTGTGTGGACATGAAAAATGTATTTAACTGTTGTGTTTCTGTCTACAGTTTCCTTTGTGGTAATATTTTCTCTTCATGTCTAATCACAAACAGTATTTACTCTACCTATCAGAATTTTAACAACAGGTCAAGTCCAGTGAGGTATCCAACAGTTGAAGTGCCCGTTTGGTGAAAATCAAGTTTTTAAACATGTTGACATGTCCCCCTTGTGCCTTTTATATGATATATTTTGAGTGAAATAAGCAGTGACTGAGTATTTCTACCTTAACACTGCAATACTCAAATAATGCACCTTAAATAAATGGATTCAAACAGCCACGTCTGTGATGTCACAAACCTAAGAAACCAATCCTGTCAACATGCAGATGAGGCACAGTAGCTGGGAAAGGCTCCTCGACTGCAGGTGGCGCTGTGAGGCTGGCTAGAAGGGGAGCTGGGGATGGGGGTCGTATTAGCATATTAATAGATCCCAGTCACGAGATGGCCAGGGAGGGTGTACAGTCACATCTAAACCATTTTGATGAATTTGTTTTCATGACAAACCTTCTGAATATGTAGCTTTAGGGAGTGTAATATGCTACTGGAGTGGGACCTAAACTGAATAAATGAAGGAAACTGAACTGAAACTGACTAAGAAATTGACTAAACGTTGGCATCACATGATGGACGACCAGCACAGTCTCTAGAGTCCATTGAGCTTAGTATGAAGTGACAATATGAATGAAAGTAAGAAAGAGTGTGTTCGGCTGCTTAACAAAACAAACTTATAAAATAGATTCCATTAAGCTCAATAACAAAAAAGATTCAATGGTTCATTGATAATTGTTTTATTTGTTCTTTTCTTTCAGAAACACTGAGAGATAAAATTAGGTAAATTTGAATTGTAGCTGCAGTTTTCTAAAACTTACACCCGGTAGTGTGACTCGCCTCTTCTTCTAATCCCTTCTCTCCACTGCTGCTCTCTTTGTCTCCTCTCTGTCCCTTTTCTCTCCTCCGAACTCTCTCTATTTCTCCCAACATCTAATTTCCTTCTGCTCCTCTCTTCTCGCCTCTCTACTCATCTACTCTGCTCCGCACTCTTCCCATCTACTCTGTCCTCCTGTCACCCTCTTTTCTCCTTTCACTCTGATTCGTCTAAAATGTTAAGTTTGAAAATGGTGAGGGACGGAGAGAGAGATAGGGAAGAGCAAGAAGAGACCAAGATAGCGTTTTGAAAATGCCAGCGAAAAGAGAGAGAGAAGTATAGAGGAGAAAAATGCAGCTGAATATTTAGCTCTCTACTTCACAACTAAGAAAAAGGCAGCAGGAGGAGTGAAGGACTGAATGTCCAAGCAGGTACTTGACATGTGGCATTGAAGTTTTCTCTACAGATGGATGGAAATATAGAGTCTCCTCTCCTTTGAGTCTCTGAGAGAGTAGAATGAAGACATATTGATAAGAGAGAACAATTTACTATTTTAATTAAGTTTGCAACATATGGCAGTCATGAGTGATCTGCATCTTAACACGTCTTAGAAGAGACATATTGACCGCTACTCTGTCCTTTAAGAAATCGTGACTACTATACAAGTAATTTACAGACATGTCAATGTTTTTTGAATAATGTGCTACATATAACATATAATTATTATGGTTGATGTCTGGTAACAGCTTGCTTGTGGTCTAAAAATAGAAAGACAGAATGTAATATATCTGTTTGGTCACCTGCCTCTGCATACGTGTGTGTGTGTGTGTGTGTGTGTGTGTGTGTGTGTGTGTGTGTGTGTTAGAAATGCTTCAGGTTTGAGAGCACTTAAAGAATCAGATTATCAGCTCAGCTATACAACTGCTGGCATTTGCAGTATGTCAGTGCTTCTTCTCTACTCATTTGTTGAACACACTGTTTTGCCTTTCTAATTTGCTTTTTGAAAATACATTAGATGTAATCCTCCTCATTCAGACACTAAGTGGAATGATCCAGTGTTTTATGAAAACACATATTTGCATGTTCTTCTTCTGTTAGCATTACTAACCTTTTATTTCCATTGTAATATCCAGTTATTTGAGGTATGTTGTCAGTGAGAATCTGCTGAGGATCACCGGGCTTAGTAACTATAGGATTACAATTGTAATGAATATTGAGAAGGTCTTTCTTTTTGTGGGCATTTAAATGGATTGTAGAATATCCTTCTCCCAAAACAAAAGTAAAGAAAAATCTTATATATAATATATTGATACCAATATAGATCCCGGGCATATATTCAGAAATGTCATGGAATGGCTCCAAATATTTTCTGATATTCAAAATACTTATTTCAGTTTAGTTGCTGAGTTGCAAACTTTTGATAAGCATCATAGACTAGTTCTTTGTTTTCCATCAGTAAACATCCATTGTCTGTACACATTGCTTAAAGGCCCTCAATGTGTCTTTTGTTAGCCTCCTTTTAAAACACATTTTCCTTAAATAGAAGATGTGAGTGTTCCCGCTTAAACATTGATCTTTAATCATGATTTAATTTGTGCATGTGAGGAAAGAGACAGATGATTAAACACCACATAGAATCCTAAGTGTAAGTGTCCTAGAAAAAAAGATAGTTATATGTGCTTTGCAATGGTCGGTTAGACAGATAGTGCAGAAAGACTTAGGGAGAGGATGAGATATTTAAATAGAGAAAATGAGCAGGAATTAAGATAAATAAGAGTCATCTTTTAGTAGATCTTCTTTTTTTCTGTTCACATTTCTCTGGTTCCATCTCAAACCCCTGCTCTGTCCTTCTTTGCTTTCTCTCTTCTTTCTTCTCTTTGCACCTCGGTTGCCTTCTGGCTGACTATTAATCCAGATGACTTCTTTCATCAATAACATGTTACACAAAATTGAGACAGAGACAAGTCGTTTCATCGAAGCGTGTCTGCCATTTTCTTCCTTCTTAGTGTATACTTACGTGCACAAGTTTAAATGGCCAATAAGTAAAGTTGGTTGTTTGCGAGTCTGTTGTCATTCTGGTAACTTCTTAACAAAAACAGCACAATCAATAGCGCTTGTACTGGTCTGACAGCCTGTCGGTGAAATGCTGTGATTGTGCTTCAGTGTTTGCCTGTGCTTTTGTACACCCATGTTTGATTGTGTGTAATTTTATGAATGTTTTCTGTTTGTCAACTTAATTGCTAACTGCCAGATGTTGTGAAAAAACTATGTTGGAGGGTAAACTTTCAACTTTGAGTTGTCAAAGGCAAAACTCAGAGGAAAAACTTAAAAGGATAGTTCACTGAAAAATGAAAATTCTCACATCATCTACTCACCTAGCTGATGGTGGGGGCGGGTGAAGTGTTTGAGTCTTTACACTCTTTACAATTTTTCGGTGAACTATCCCTTTAACACTCTGGGTGTCTCCGTGCATGTGTGTGTGTGTATGTTCGTGTGTGTGCTGTTTCTGTGTGTATCAGTCATTGGATTCATCAGTATCAAGCAGATTATTTTGTTCAAGTCTGAGCCATGCCTGACTGCTCACACACATACACCCTGAAACCCATCGTCACACATACCCATTAGGCCTGTAATCACTGCTGTCTTTTTCCTGATGAGTACATATTAGCGAGTGTGTGTTTTTCTGTGTGAGAGTGTGTGTGTGTGTCTGAGATGGGGGTGTTGGGTCATTTTCATGCATGGATCATCATCGTCATTATAGTGTTGGCAGGACACATTCTGTGACACTCTATCAGATTCTGTTAAATTTTACTTGGTACTGAAATTGAGGCCAATCAAGACCAATAAAAGCCTCGGCCAGAATATGGTAAAATTCAGACTGATTCTGTAACAGCACATCGTTTTGCAACATGAGTTCATTATTACTCAAGCTGTTACATAACAAAGGCATAATGCCCAAAATTCAGAGCATAATCAGATATAAAATACTGTCTTCTGTTTTAGCTTAAAGCTACAATATGCATGATCAGACTGTAAAGCAAACCAGTCCCCTCCTTCTCCCTGACCTATTGTCAAGCTTATGCAGGGGTACCAGCAATACAGAAGCTTATTCACATACTCAAACAGTCCGGGAACATCGGAGGGGATATCACTGCATTAATGAGGCTGGTCAGTATGTCTGGAAAACTGAAGCCTGTGACAGCACTTTCCCTAGTACTAAATGTATAGGGGCATGCTAAAGAAAAAAGTAACATGATGTGTTTGTTTAAACTGAAGTTGGTTGGAAAATGATGGTTGTGACATCCAACAATCAGACAGAATGACATGCATGTTGCCAGTAAACCAACAGTTTCTCCACTTTGCCCTGGACATGAAACTAAAGGGGAGAGCATCAGCAGTGTTGCTAGCAGTCTGTCATTGGAT